CTGATGTGCATTTATAACGCTAAAAACATCCAGATAAAAAATTATGTTCTTCTTCTACCCTCAGTTTGAATTACAGCCTTACCAATTATAGTCAAAAGCAAGATGCTAGTCATGTTTCAGCAGCAAAATCGATGTCAGCACAGGCTAAATTGTGTTCTGCCTTGTGCTCACAACTGTCAGACAATTGCTGAAATTACCAATGGCTGTAACTTTATTGCAAGCAACAATACAAGAAAGCAGTTTGATGGCAACAAGTAGTTACCATTTGAAAACCCTTCAGGCAAGGTACGGATGACTTTTTTTGCTGGGGAGGAGCAGGATCCAGTCTTACGAGACACCCAGGTCTCAGACCCCTGTGGCTTCTGCCACAGCCTGGGTCAGCACACTGCAGCAAGAGTAGACCAAACCCTTGTGGGGGTCCACCTGGATCCAACATCGAGCATCGTCCCTGCCCTTGGTCCCTCGGGTGGTTTACACAAGCCACAGCAGCGAGCTGTCCCAGATGGTGCCCAGAGTCAAGAGACAGCAGCGACTCCTGGTAGTCTCTGTTTTCTGTGGCTCTCACTGGAGGTATGATCAATGCCCTCAGGATGAGGGACACAGTCGTCCTCACTTCTCAGTGAGGAATCCAGATCGGTACAAGCCAAGTGGGATACAACATCAGTGTTGTCAGAGCTCTTTGAAATGGCTGTTGTGTCACTTAGAGGTGGGGTGCCCTTTTTTTCAATCCTTTCCATTCAAGGGTTGTTTGGATATCCAGCTCTTATCTGACGCTTTCAGACAGGCAGACAAGATCATGAAGCTGCTGTCCTGAGTCTACTTTACCTTATTTGGTGAAAGCATTTTTGTAACTATACTAAAAATGTATATTTCTGATATTTAGCCTTATCTTTGAATGGCAAAGAAAACATTTCAAGAGCTGCAAAATATTTCAGCTTCTATTTTAACGGGAATCCAATTAAGAAAATCAAATAATCAGTGTATTTGGAGTATGCAGAGAATGAGAAAAATGCCAATACAGCCTGAAGATAATCTGAGTGACACTGAAATTAATATTGTCTACTTTCCTTGCAGTCCCTGAGGTCACTAGATAAAGCTTTGTTTCTGTTATTGTTGTATGCTGTCCCTGAATCACAGAAAGAGAGAATAAGTGCCTCTTTCCCACCTCAAAAATGTCCTTACACAAACAGTAGTGCTAACTGAACCAAGATGTTCCTACATCCAGTGAAAAAGCTCTGAGATGCCGGACAAAACTTATCTGGTCTTTCCAAGTTATCCTTTTTGAATGCAGAAGACCATGTCCTCAAAGTCCACTTGGGTGTTTGGAGAACCAAAAAGCCATTCTCATCAAGCCACTGAAAAAAATTATTTAATTTATGTTTGATCCTCAATGTTAAGAAAATCCCTTCATTTGTGTCTAAACATGCCTGGCATTTATTTCTCTTCCCTCCACCGTGAATATGATGTGAAGAAGGGCTTTGAGGAACAGTGGAAGAGTTGGCATATACTTCTGGACTTAAACCTGTGAGTTTCTTGCTCTAATTGAGTATGTGGCTCAGGCACACTGGCCATATTAATGTATGAATTTGTGCTGTAATGTATGGATGTTGCTAACACAATACATGGGGGAGAAGGGGAGCTACAGTAGATTGGAAAACACATCTTCATACCAAACTGGGAGGAAGAAAATGACATAGGGTGCATGTTGGGATGGTACAGATAAAATTGGAGAAAAGGAGGAGAATGACTAGTTTTATGTCCAAGGAGGATCCTGGTCCCTGGGGAAAGTTGTATGCAAATGCAATGAAACTGAAATTTGTGAGGAAATAAAATATAGGCGGCTAAACATTCCCTTTCTCACCTCAGCTTCACTTCTAGATGGACATATTTTCCAGTAACTGATTTAATCAAGAGAAACTCTTCTTCCCGCTTGTCTTTCTCCCTACCTTTAGACTTTCCGTACCTTTTTCTACTTCAGAACTCCAATGTCTTTTTCTGTTCTGAGAATAACTTTGTTTTCCTACATGTATGGCATCCATTCTGTCTTCTCCCCTCTGGCATCTGAACTCTGATATCCCACAAGTGCCTGCAAAAAAGCATTAATCTCTCTTCCTTTCTGTGAGCAACACCCCTGCCATTACACATTTTGTATAGTGAAGTTTGTGGCACAAAACTGATGCTGGTCACTGAGGATAAGAAAGATGGAGTAATGTTTTGTTGTGTGAGCCAAGAAAGGAATCCAAAAATGTTTTTATCCAAGTTCAGATCTCTGGCAAACAGTGAGGTGCAGCTCAATGTTGAAAGCCTTCTCAGGCACGTGGCTGATATATTTACAGGACTCTCATCTGAAGGTGATCATGCAAGGAAGACTTATTCCAATGAGCTTTTTGTATGTGCAGCCTTGTGGAGCTGACATTACCTAAGACAGGGCTTTATCAAGCAGCAAAGAAACATAGACTGCCGCAGTATCAGATGTAGGGACATTTCAAGGAGATTGGTGTATGCTTTATAAACCTGAAGGGAGATTTCCTTGCCAGAATACAAAATACATCTCCCTCTTCTTACTTTTAATTCACATATATTACTAAATGTTACATTGTAAACAAGACTGAGAGGCAGGTTTTTTTTTACAAGCTGCAAAAGTTGGGACTATAAATATGATCATTAAAAATACAGCTCAATATATTTTATGATAAGCTGGGAATGGAATTTTTAAAATCTGGTTTTGATACAAAGCTAGATAAGACAAGATTCAGCCATCATGTGCATAGTAAGTTAGGTGGGGAATAGACAGCCATGAAGCTATGGTGATGGGTGTCCTGTTACCAGGAGTGCATATTGCACCACCTGTGCTCATGGATGCCAAGGGGTGGGTTGGTTTCCAAATAGTGCCTCTTGAATTTGTGCCTGGCTGAGGAACAAGGATTAGACCTCTGGAGGAACATTGCTTGGAACTGATGTTGAGGGGTTGTTTTATGTGTGTATTGACTTTGGTCCCTATAAAGGCATAAAATGCATGTCTAAAGCCAGATGAATTGTTTGCAAAATGTAGCAGCTCATGTAATACACAGAGCAGTTGCCCTGATTAAAAGACAACTACTTTCCTTTAAAACAGTCAGAGCTGGATGGAAAATCATTGACTCATCCTATAAGAGTTTTTGAGGTGCCACCCCATCCTGCTTTTCCGTGCTGAGGGCAAAGTAAGACCTTCAGAGGGTAAATCCTTGCCCAAGACTAGAGTGATTCTTTGCCTGCGTCGTGGAGATGTGTATATCCTGGGGAGCCAGCTCAAAGCACAGAGCCCAAAGCCCAACGTGATGGGTGTTCCCTCCACTTTGCCTTACATATGGTGCTTACAGGGTGATTACCCAAACTTCACCAGGTCAATGGGCATCACTGGTATTTCATAAGTGGGTCCTCTGTTGGTCTGATAAGGCTATTGGAGCAAGTTCCCTCCTAACTGACTCATAGCAGCTCCTTTTCCAGCAGATCTGCGTTGGGTAAAACTTCGGGTGCTCACTGAAACAGGGACGTGAGCTGGGATCTGCCACAACTCATACAAGATCTCCAGTGGTTGAAGAGTTGACCATTTGCACGAGCTGACCTTCATAAACTGACCAGCCTGGTGTGGTGGCCTGGTCCTTGAAACGTGGGCTTTGGAGGCTTCTGGATGGCCCAGCTGGGATGTGAACCTGAGCTTATACCACACCCTCAGTACTCTGCCCTGGGGGACACGTGGGGACAGCTCTCTTTTTCTCCCTTTCTCCTTTCTCCTGACATGAGAAAGCTTTCCCTGAGATAAGAGGGCTTTGCTGGACAATCGCTGAGTGCCTGGGGAGGCAGGGCTGGGGGACTGGGCTGGAAGAGCACTTGCAAATCCGTTTTAATACTGTTTCAGTTTTCTCAGGTAAAAGTGTATTGTTTTTTTTTCTCAGATAAAGTTTCATTTTCTGTAAATACCTCATCAGTTTCATGGCGAAATGATATTTTTGCAGTGATTAGGTAAGCTAGTTCATATATTACAGCAATGCAACATTCCTTACCAGGAAAAGATTAACTTTGTGTATAAAAAATCTGTCTATAAGCCAAGCTTTGCCTGACACAGACTTCTATAAATTCACCCAGCAAACTGTTTTTCCCTTTGTCTTCCCTCTTCTTCACCTCAAAAATTTCTCCATCCACAGCAATTATATGCAAATCAAGTCTGTGAGCACTTCTGGAAAAAACCTGTCTCTTCTCCCCTTGTCTATACAGAGCCTGGCACAAAGAGAACCTGATTCCCGAACAGCGGTTTGAAGTGGTGTATGCTCTGAGCCTTTGAATTGAATTCTGTTTATTAGTGATAAAGAAGAGAGGCTGTGGGATACAAGTGTTGGAGTAATTTATCTCTAAAGTAGTCAAATTGATATTCTGCAAAAGCACAGAGATCTACGCCATGGCAAGGCGAACACGATCCCTGAATTCTAGCAGACTCGCTGGTGAGCAAAGAACTAACGCAAATCTAAGTGTTTGGAGCACTTCCACATTTAGCAGCAGTAACTACAGCGACTAGTTCATAACTTTTTTCAGATTAGAAAAGAAAGCATTGCATGACTTTTCTGTACCTTCTTGGGAGGAAAATAAAAGTCTAAAATTTGACCTCCCTTAATAATTTCTGTGACAAGGACTTAATTTCTCTACTTGTTTGGGGAAGGACAAGATCTGCACAGCCAGCTAAATGTTAGGACAGGGTTGAATACAAAACCAGGGCTATTTTTATTTATTTATTTATTTATTTCTAGATCAGCTAATTCAGGTCTTTAGAAAGCAGCTGAATTACACCAACGATTCCTGGATCAGGTTGAGGTGAGAAGACAAATACCATCTCAAATTTCAACTTTATCCCTGGGTTCAATCTGACCAAAACAGTCCTCGTACTCACTTGTACCTGGCATTTGTCTCTGCAGCTCAGCAGATTAATGTTTTCACTGACAACATAAGCACAGCCACAACTTACTTACCTGTGAGGTCGTCGTTGGGCCAGGAGCCAAGCTGGCAGGCTTTGCATGTGTATTCATCAAATACATATTCATTCTCTTTACAAGGAGTGCAGGTCCAACAGCAACTCACTTCTCCCTTACGGATCACCTGAGACAAAAATTGACATTTGGTTTAGCAACATAAACATACATTCATGTTGCCCCAGTTGCTAATTAAGTTTTTTTAATATCTTTGATAGATGGGTTTCTTTAATATCTTTGATAGAAGGGTTTCTTTAAATTTTATTTTAAAGGGAGTTTCTTTTCATGATATTTGTTTATACAAAATATGACACAAGCTCTTAGTTCTCCTGTCATGTATGTACCAGAAGAAAGAAACCATCAACATGACAGAAGTATAAACGGAGGTACAAAATGAAAATAAGATGTTTTTTCCCCCTCTTAGAATCGGCACAACTCAAAATTTCATAGATGACAATGTGCCTACACAAGCCAGTGCATTATACTCACAGTATGTCATTCACTCCATTGTGGTCCATACAGGGAATCATCTCAACAGCATTATTTCCCTGAGGATTCATTACCCAAAGAGTTTCGGATGCTTATTTTTCATCCAATTGTAAGTGATTTGTTAAAACTGATTTTTTCCAGGAATTAAACCAAACATGCCTTTTCCAGAATTATTTAATTACTGCATTTCTAGTTAACATTTAAGAGTGAGGATGTTATCTTTATCCATATGACCTGATTTCTCACTTTAAAATTTGGTGCCAAATGTTATTGCACGCTCATGATTGAGATGCAGTTTTTTCAAGATCCTTATTTATCATCTCTGAGCACTGAAAACATCTGTGCTTCTTATCAATATGTCTTTCTTTTGAAATAAAGCATTCCCAGTTTCGCTGCTCTTCCCAAACAATGTATAAACAAATACTCCCAATTATAGCATAAGAAGTAGGCTGACTTATGTATTTTTTGCAATGATGAATTCAGAAGGTGGCTTCAAAACCAAATGTCTTTATTGCAATTTTAATAAATAAAGGAGTGTAATGAAAAAGGACTGGATTGCTCTTTGCAATGCTGCAGTGAAAAAAGTGTAAATTATGTAATTTTCATCAGCAACATGGGGACTTGAAAACTTCAATTTTTGGTTTTGTTTTTAAAATTGTACGGTATAAAAAGAAAAAAAACCCACACGTGAATAGCTGAACTGGCAGAATAATGGGAGCATAAGTGATTTGTTCTGCAAGTGTTGACACTAGAGCTACTTGCAAAACAGAGTATCTGTTCTCCAGAATAATTCACATCTTGGAATTTCTTTCATTTTGAACTAGAATGAAAAGTTGAACAAATGACAAAATTTCTTCTGTCTGGGAAAATAAATTCTCAGAAAGTTTGTGCTAATTTTTAGACACATATTTTGGTAAACTTGATGTATTTTAAAAATCCATAATTTTTCAACGTATGAAATACTCAAGAAAATGAAATGGCAAAATATGTTATTATCAAAACACCTAAACTTTTTATCAAAACAATTTGTTTACACTTTTCTGTTAAACTTTTCACCAAATCAACGTCATCTATAAAATACTTGGAATTTGACAAATCTATCAGAAAACAGATGCCTTGATCATTTCTTAACCAGCACGAACTGGGGGTTAATCCAGAGAAGTGTTATGTATCCTTGTCTAGGAATCAAAATAATTGTTCACTACTCAGAATCAGGTCAGATTTTTGTGTATTAAATTGCTTAGTCAGCTATTTCTTTATCCTTTTATTTTTCATTTCTTGAACAACTGTTGTAGCATTTAACTGTAAATCTGTCCTTTTTAACAAAAATAAATCTCTTTTAAAAAAAGTTATTTTCCTTTCCTTTTCATGGAACTCGATGATCTTCAAGGTCCTTTCCAACCTAAACCATTCTATGATTCTATTACATTGAATGTTTCAAATTCCTGCTTAATAACTCAATCCCTCAGAATTCTGCAGGAAAACCACCGAGGAGCTTGGCAAGGTCAAGCTGTCCCCATCATCTGTGAAGACCATGAAGATAAAGGACTGTGAAGTAAACTTTGAGATTTATAATCAATAACCTAACAAGGGGCATAAAGAACATTTCAGACACTGGACTTCAAGCATGTGCCTAAGTGTGTGATGCATTGACTTCATAGTGAAGAATCCTTTGAGGAGAATCCTTGAGAGCATGGGCAGAAGGTGGAAGGAGACTGTGTTAATGAAGATCACAAGATACTTCCCATCACTTGTGTTATGGCAACAGCTCACAAAGGAACACAGAGCCACCCAATTCTGAAGTTATTATCTGTTTGTCCATCTCTGTCCTCTCACATATGTGACTTTGTGGCTGGAGCAGGCTAATATCAGACCCCCGATAAGTTACTTCCTTTATGTGTCTACAGAAGGCATCTTCCTGTCTGAACCAACTGTCCTGTCTGGGTGCCTTTTACCATCAGTGAAGAGAAAGAAGTATTTCTACACCAAGATTCATCTTAACCATTTTCAAAGCCTACATGAGGGTGAGATGACTCCTGATCTGGAATAATATAATATTTCCGTTGACTATAAAGCAAGTTCAGAAATCTCATATAAGTGTATATGCCTACAGTGAAGACATATACATTTGCTCTGATGAAACTCACTTACTGACTTTGCCAAAAGCCAGTTAGTGAATACAACATGGTGACTTCGTCCTAAAACTCTGGAAAATTCAGACTGAAGAGAGTCACTTTGTGTTGCAGAGCATGGTCAGCTTCCCATCAGCCCCTCACTGTAGCTGCTTCCCAGTTTTGCAGTCCTCCATGTTAACATAGGAGAAGAGTTATCCACCTTCCAGTGAGACATGTCAGAAATTGCAGCTGCTTTTTTTCAGTCTGAGCCACTCTGTTGTCCATGCCCATCCCCTCAGTCCACAGGCTGCAATGTAAGCTAAGGACTTGCAGTATTTTAACTGTTCTGCAGTGTCAGGGGATGATGAAGGATAATAGAGTACAATTAATGCATGACAGATTCATCTGCCCTCCTTACTTACTGCAACATGGAAAGGGAGGATGGAAAAATCAAAAACCTGGGAAACAAAGAAGCAGTAAACCAGGTATGATTAAAAAAAAAAATGTTACCTCCATTTCCTGAAGTTCTAAGTAGTGGTAGCTATCACTGTTCTCTGATGATACCACAGACTTCAGGTCTGAGTAATAATGTTCCAGTCTAGGTGTCTATCTCTAGCACTGAAATTATAGCAATTATTATTTATAGTTTACCTGCAATTGCTCTGACAAGTCCCAGTCAAGGATTTACACTCCACTCAATCAGATGGTGTAAAAATATGCAGAAAATAAACCCCAAACAATACCTATTCTAAACCATTTGGAATATAACTATTAAAAAGTCAGCAGTTCACACATATAGGAGTACAAGAAAATGGCAACTTATGAAAATAATGAGATGACTATGATACAAGTAAGAACTCAATACGTAAGTCTGTATATTTTAATTAGGATGTGGGATACTGTCTCCATGTAAGAGTCAAGAAAAACTTGCTTTCAAATTTCAAGACTATGCATTCTACACAACTGAAGTAAACGGAGAAAATATTTACCTTTATCTGGCCCTTTTCACAGGGTTCACTGCACACAGATCTGATGATATTATTTTTCTCTGACCATATTTCATCATCGTCCATTTTCAGCTCACCATTGTCCCAACTGCCAACATTGATGTAATCAAAGTAGTCCTTCCCCATTTTCTTGAAATTCATGATTTCATATCTTTGGAAACACAAAAGGGAGACATAGCTGAGTTGAGGAGAACATCATGAAATGTTTCAAATTAAAGGGACACTATACAGTCAAAATCAAGATTGTTGAAATAAAGAAGGCAACATTTCAAGCATTATGCTTGCCCGTGTCTCCCAATGATTTTTGTGATATCATCATCTTTCTTTTCCTTTGTATTTTAAATTGTTTTCTACTATCACCACAAACGTTCCCTGAACACTTTGGGGCTAAGTGACTGAGCTTCTGAATATAGTCATTATATTCATTTAAATAAAACACTGAAATGAGCCAGACAGGATTCATCCTGTGTAACTTTCAGCACTGAAGCGAACTGCATAGGGAACCCTAGCTGTCCTAGGCTCCCTCTACAGCAGATGCAGAGAAATCTAAACTTATAATGGCAATTCCCAATGTTGAGTGTTTCTCACCGTCTGCAGGTGCGTATTTTCCTCTTGAGAGAGGAAGCCTGAAGACAGCTAGGCTCCTAAAGTGAGGTAGAAGCCTGTGGGATCAAAAGAAACAGCCTGTACTGTAAGACTGCAAGATGCAATTTGGTGTGGCACCCAGAGAGGGATCAGGCATCATTCTTCGGGCACAGACTCCAGGACCCTGGGGCTTGCTGGAGGATCTGGGGAGATCGTCATGTCAAGAGGCACCTTGTAGTCCAGGCATTTGAAGGATGAAGTTGAGATTTGCCATTTTTTGGCCTTTTTCTTCTACAGCATTGAAGCAGCAAATGCTATTCTCTCCCACCCATGCAATCCCCTTCGTTTTTATATAATTTCTCAGTGGTCAGAACTTGTACAGTAAAGTATGGAAGAGAAAGAGTAGTCATGTCTCAAACCTAGGCTGCTTTTGGGTCAGATCACCTCATTATCTGGGAACAGAGCGTTAAGATCAGAGTTTTCGGGTTCATGTTACTCTTCCTCCTACTTTCTTTTAAGTTCCCACAGTCTTACAGAAAGTCTGTGGAGCAATGTGAGACTCACTAGCCTCCTACTGGCTGAACACCAGCCTACCTTTCTGCCCTACTGGTCAGTTCTTTTAGCACTTACTTGTAAGGCACGCTTGGAAAGTTGGGCAACTCCCGAAGTGATAAGGTCATGCTCTTATTTACGCCCTCTATAGTGGATTTTGCAGTAATCTGACTAAGCAACATGAAATTCACTGACAGAAAATAAGAAAACTATATAGACTGAGAAGGTAAACGCAATCATAGGTTTAGAAAACCTATAACAAATGAGAAGACAACATTTTCCTGTCAGCAGGGTCAAAATCAAGCCCCAAGGCAAAGCATATGGACAGGGGTGGATTAAGAGTGATTATGCCAGAATGTAATTTGTGAAGTCCAATGTACACATAAGTAAAAGAACCAGTTCATTAAATCAAATAATCTCTTAACTAAGATACTCGACTGTCTCTCTTAAGTTTTGAGGAAACACTTTTAAGACTGAGAAGTAGTAGCTATACTATATCTAACATCAATATTTTTCCCATGCTGACATAAAAAAAAAAAAAAAAAAAGACAGTAAAACTGTTCTGTAATACTCTGCATCTATGGATCTCGGGATGCTTTTCATCAGGAAATAAAGTCTAACTGTCACAGTGGGGAAACTCTGGGAGGGATTCAATGCCAAAATCACACACAGGTCTGGGTCAGGATTGCAAGCAACCTGTGAAAGAAAATGAAAGTGGAGACTGACTGAATGGGCAATATGATATGACCCATATTATATGATTCTTGAGTCTTTCCAAAAGAAGAAGAAATGGGTAACAACACAGCTAGGAAGAAAAAAATTATGATACTCCTGGATTTTGGAATATTTCACTTTCTCTCCTGTATAAAGGAGGAAAGGCCCACAGCCTTGAGAATGACCTCATCACAACTGGAGATGTGAATGCCAGACTGAAACAAATGACTTGAAGCCAGATAACACACACATAAACCTGAATAAACAGGCTTTTACATATAGTTATAAAGCAAGAGGTTTTTTTCTGAGGTTCACAGGCATAGTAACAGTCTGTTCAAGGACTGAACAGACTAACCAAAAAGTTTGCCCAAAAGCCACCATGGAGCCTTTATTCAGCATTGCCAAGACGTTGTAACACTCATCTGAGTATTGCTTTGCTACAGCTGTCAATTCAGAGTTTCATGGGCAGATGAACGAAAGTACTGCCAATGCTTAACAGACCACAGGACCTAAAACAATTATCCCTCCAGTAGTAGTTCCATGCTTACATCCCAAGGGGAATACTGGAAAGAAACCTTAAGAAGTGAATAAACTATTGTCTCGATATGTTGTGTCTCTCTTCTCTGTGGGGAACAGCGTTGGTGGACTGATAGTAATAGCCAAACTCAGTAAGTCCATTGCTATAGTGAAGGGTCACGAGTCACTGGTTCCCTGGAGATTCCTTGAGACACCACAGGGACTGTTTGTCACTTTAGGATAGGAGAGACCAGATGGTGCAATAGCACATTTCCAGCAGTGCCCTAATCACAGTGCAAAACACTTCTTTCAAAACAGAAGTGCCATGAAGTTGCTGAGAATCCATATTCTATTCGTAGCACAGCCAAATCATCTGCTTCTTGTTTTTCTTGTCTTTTCTTGCCTTCTCAATGTCTTCTTTGGAGTTTTGGCAATATTTACAGATAGTTATTATCTTCCTGAGAAATCACGGCTGTTCCTTCCATACTCATTTGTTTTTTCCCATGTCATTTCTCACCTAAAACAAGACTTCCACTAGACTGACTGTCTGCTTAAAGCTCAACATACACATAAAGGACCTTGGAATAGGGCCAGGATTCGAAGCATCTTGTGGGATTAATCATCTGTTGTATAATATCAAAACCCTTTTGCCATACATCAAAATCCTGAGCTATCTAGGTCAGAAAGGCTTTTTATGTTCTGATTTCCTGCTTAGCACTGCCACCATCACCGTACAGCTGTGAGGATTTATATTTCCGTTTTACAAAGTGAAGATGCAGCTATCAATGCAAGTGAACGGGGGAGGTGAGCTGTTCCAACACGACTGCACCATCTCCCAGCTGTTGCAAATAGTGTTTGACAGTGCTCAAAAGACCATAAACTATTCAAAACCTGGGCATTAGAGATGGAGCTTCCTATAAAGCTTTCTTTATCATGAAAAATTAAATTTTGGCTCAATGGGGGGTAATTTAAGCACATAGACTGGATTTAATGATGTGACTATTGTAGAAGAGTTCCAAAGGTAAACAAACTGGGACCATTTTGTCACTACACACAGTCCATTAGTTTGAGTAGACAAAGCACTGCCGTATCTCACACAAATCCAGTGAGGCTGGACTTTCTTAAAGTTGTGTTATCCTTTAGGTTCACAAATCAACATCGTGTCCCCATGCTCTTCAGTGAAACATTAATGTCCTACTGTCACTGAGCAAACGACTGCACATGATGTGATTTCTTCATCATCTTTCTTAGAATTGGATTTTAAAAGACCCAAGACATTCAACTAAATTCCTTGCATCAAATGGAATTAAATCATTATTGTTAAGCCTGCCAACATGAGGAAAAGGTAAAGATAAAGGTCTCTATGCAACATTTAGATATTGATGTTGTCATGCCACGTATCATTTATTTGTGGCAGTCAAAGTCTTTCAGCAAGAAATGAGTGAAACAGAGAGCAATAAGGTCAGATGCCGTCCACTGCATCTGAGCACCATTAAAACCAAATGGAAATCCTTTAAAAGAAGTCTGGGGTGAGTCTTTTAAAAAATAATTTGGTCAGAAAAATCCAGACTGAGCACTTTTCTTCAGCACTCAGCTATTTATAAAAATAGAAATGTTTAGCGGAAGACAGCCTTGCTCACCAAAACAATGCTGAAAATAAATTTCCATCTGAAATTTTCCTGGGTTTCTGCCAGTTTGTGTCTGAATTCTCCTACCAGCTCACAGTGCACTTACTTAGAGTCTGAGTCTGAAGAGTTTGAAACTGTGTGTCTCCAGAGACACAAACAGACTGCTTTGTAGATGGCTGTCCTACTCTCTTTTGGAGAGAATGCTGAGTTCATAGGTTTTCAAATAAAATAATAATAATAAAAAAAATCAGTTCTGAAATTGCAGAAATTTTCAGAAATGTCAAAGTATTCTGACCAATGGATTTACCTTTTCCTACCCATCTTATATTGTGCCTTATATTCTGTCTTATATTTCATAGATGTATGTATATACATGTATGTAAGTTTTCAGCAAAAGCAGCTTTGTTTAAATTCAATTTGGCTTATAGTAGCACAGTATGAATTAGTAGCTTACTCTGTTATGCAAGTGGAAAGGCTTTATTTGGAAGATATGGAGGCAGATTTTTAATAATTCTGATGGGAAAAAAAATCTGAGGCAAATCAATAAAATATTTCTGATATTGTTTTACTCATCTTAATAAAAGAACTATGCTATGATTGCTTATCGCTCAATCAAACACATGGTGAAGTCACTGTGTCCAGTTTTGGTCTCCACAGTTCAAGAAGGACAGGAAACTGCTGGAGAGAGTCCAGTGAAGGGCAACCAAGATGATTGAGGGATTGGAGCATCTCCCTTATGAGGAAAGGCTGAGAGAGCTGGGACTCTTTAGCCTGGAGAAGAGAAGGCTGAGGGGAGACCTTATTATTGCTTACAAATATCTAAAGGGTGGGTTGAAGGAGGATGGAGCCACACTCTTCTCGGTGGTTCCCAGTGACAGGACGAGGGGCAATGGGCACAAGTTGGAACATAGGAAGTTCCATTCAAATACACAGAAAAACTTCTTTACAGTTAGGGTGACAGAGCAGTGGCACAGACTGCCCAGGGAGGGTGTGGAGTCCCCTTCTCTGGAGATTTTCAAAACCCGCCTGGATGCAGTCCTGAGTAATGTGCTCCGGGCAATCCTGCTTTAGCAGGGGAGTTGGACTAGATGATCTCTAGAGGTCCCGTCCAACTCTGAAGATTCTGTGATTCTGTGATTCTGTGACATACATTTAAACACCCAGAGAGAGAGCAATGCTCTGACAGCCATCATGATCTATAAACATAAAGTTGAAGGTCTGACGGTTTGTAGTGAGAAGTAATACCTTTAAATGATACAGATGAAAGCACAAATTCATGCAGAAAAATTGCATGCCTCAAAGTTTGTGTCTTTAACCTTAAACATCATAAAAAATGCCCATTAAAAAAAAAAAAAGAAGTTATTTTGGAAAAATAAGCACAGAAAGTCAGGAAATGTGAAAATAAAAGTATTAGATCTTAGCTCTGATGTCAAGTCTGCATGCATCTACTATGTACAACTAACATGTCTGGTATTAAACAGTTTGACAAATGTCAACGTTACCTTCCTGGTGAGTCGCCGTTCTCATCAAACAAGATCATATCCCCAGAGACTCCGGTAAAGTTAGTCTTCATGAGGGATTCCAGGAGCTTCCGACCATCTATGGGCTTCATGGCATCACAGAGGCCCACATAGCCTGGGCACAGTGACATCTGCATGTTGTGGAGGCCATACGCCATCGAGTATATTGCGTTGATTACAAAGCCCATCTTGGAGTCCTGAACATGCTGCGTCCTCAGAGTCATCTGGCCTGCCGGGGAACATCGCAAAGTGGGTGGTTAGTGCATGGGGCTGAAATACCATCAGGTCTTCAGACATCTGTTGGTGGGTTCGTTATTAATGGTGGAAAATGTATTTTTAAGTGTCCTAAACACCTCTTACCAGTACACACAGTGACCATGTTAAAAAAAAAAAAGAATGAAAGAAGAGCTTCCCCTTAAATATTTCACTATCCAGCTGATGCCTTTCTCTGTGCAGCTCCATACCGCACATATGTTGTTTTTCGTCTACTTCTCTTCCATGTGTTTTTTTTTAAAGCATGCATCGTGAATACTATAATATAATGTTTTGGGGAATCCAGTAACTTCTCCCTGCCTGCAGAAATGTCTCCTCATCCTGAGAAATCTTTTGTTGAGGTGTAAATGCTAACATGGGGTCTATTCTGTAGTGACCTTGTAGACAACACTTTTGTTTCAGAGACATGGGAACCGATACTGTGCAGACAGACTGACGTAGGTACAACGCCTTTACCGTACCAAAAGTTCCTATGCTAACTCTCCTACTTCTGTGTCTCTTGCTCCCTTCTGTTTATGAAGTGAGGATAGTGATGCAATGCAGACGAATGCATTAAAACGTCTGTGATGGTGTGGGTTAAGCAGTGAGTCTGTTTAGCCGGAATTGGTTAACCTTACTTTGTTTGGCTTTTAAAACATAATGTCTGGATTTCTATTTTCTATTTAAGCTTCTGTGAAAGGCACAATAAAAATTCATTCACCAGCACCCTGAAGGCCTTTTTTTTTTTTATAACCCAGTGTTATTCATGACACAGATTTGCTCTGTTGGCACCACCAGCCCAGCTAAAGAAGAGTAGGCTGGAGATTTTCTGCCTCATATGTCATCAGTAAAGCTGCCAGCTGCACTCCAGCCACCAGATCTTTAATACTGGGGAAGTGAGAAGAGCCAGAGATAAAGCAACTTCATCCATGGTGCTGGGAATTTGTCAGACACCTGGAAAGACTTGGCTCTGGAGGGAGGACAAACAAAGATCTCTACTAGAACATTTGCTCTCCTTTTATCAGTCAAGCAGTAATCCCTAGGAGCTAGGGAGTCCCTTGTGTGGGCAGCCAGGAGCAAAGGGAATGCAAAACCTGCTCTCTCCATTCTGTGAGAGTCTGCCTCCCATAGAGGCACTGGCAAGTGGCAGGGATGGAGCTTACACCTGCCTGTCTGGGCTGCAGGGGCAGCACAATGTAAGAAGTAATTTATGCCATGAAAAGACAAGACAGACAATTTTTTTCTGGAAAGAAATGAAGAATAATACATGACTCTGAGGGTGGCACTCATCTAGTTTAACAATATCCATCCAGAAGACCAGCCTCTAGTCTCATGTCTAGGCACCTTTTGTGGAGAAGAGTAAGAATCTCCAGCTGGTGATTGATCCCATCATAAAATAGGTACACCTACTATCTCACCTTTTCAGCGGTGAACAAGAACATCACCACACAGTTCAAATCACTAAAATATTTTGGAATACCAAAAATATCAGGATGGGTTGCAAAGATACATAGTTCGAACTGAAAATCATTGTGTAAAGGTCAGTAAGTGAATGAGGGGACTGAGAGATCCCTTTTTTCCTTCTGTTTCACATGGGAGCTGTCACTTCCAGTTTCAGTCCACCTCAGGAGCAGTGATTAACATTTCAGATACTTAAGTGATATGAGATTGAAATATCTGTAATGGAAAAAAAGCTAGGACACAACACACAGTGCTGTTCATTTGTTCTGTTTTACCAAGGTATTGCTTTTTCCTAATTAAAAATAATAGGCATAAAAACTGCAACAGTGGAGTACATGTAAAACCCATATTAATTGAAATTAAGTGGAAAATTGAACAAGCGTATTACATTGCAATACACAAAACTTGGTTTAACCAATTATTCATCCTCAAAATTAACAGCTCTCAAACCGTGCAGTTAATTATAGTAGCCATTAGAATGAATCAGATTTGCATCAGCAATGGTCTTTATTATGAAACAATATTTCAGCTGCTTTATTGCATATGATTGCTTAAAAATGTAATAACTTAATTCTTACAGGAACACTCTCCGCTGGGCTTTGTGCTTATAGAATTATTATTATGACTTTCTTTAAACATTGAACCTCATTCAATTCACCTGATGATTTGTAATGAGGCTGCTTAGCTCTTCATAGAAGCTGCTGGCAACTGTCAACGGAGTTGTGGGAGAATTAGATGTTGTAAGAATTTTAATATACTTCCTACAGCTGGAGAAAACATTTCCCCGAGATGTTAACTGCCTCACTTCATCATAGAGGGGCAAATCCAACCCACCAAGTCTAACTGTCAGTTTATAGCACCTCAAGACTCTGTAGTTAAGGGGAACATCTCAAAAATGGAGACTAAATAAAATGTTTGCTCTTTAATGTACTGTAATATGGTCTTAAAAATTGCCAGAATTAAAAAAGTTGTCTGAAAGTGATTTTTCAACCCATTTCACAAAGTACTTAGGCATGTCAGACAAAGCATATAAGTAACCCTATTTACCTCAGTGATCCTATGAGTGGTTTTAAAGGAAGGCTGAATACACAAGCTAAGAGGTAGTCTTTCAGTCAGACAAAAAAGTAAAAACATTTTAAATCTATCTCTGCAACAGGGATGATTTAAGTAACCTTAGACTCTTGCTGGAACTCAAACACATATTCTTAAATTCATCCATGAGTCCTGTCTTCAGTAAAGAACCTTTCCTGACATGGGATGATCATGAGATGGAGAGGTGTCATGGGTGAATTTGATGATGATGATGTCAGTAATGTTCAATGGAATTGATTTTATGAATTAAACTCTTAACCAAGAATAATGAAAAAAAATTCTAATAGAAGTTGAGGAGTTCATACAGAATTGCTGGGCACAGAATAAATACCCACAGACTGTAACCCGTATGCTTAATTATAACATTCATAGTAGAACCTTTTCTGTTAGAGTAAAAAAAAAACCCGTATCTATAAAAGAGCTGGTTTTCTGCATCTTGTATATTCCCATATGAGAAAAAATTGCAAAGAAGGAAATAAAAACATCTTGCTTTCCTATGGGGTGGGAAAGGACGTTCACATGAACATTTTAACTCAGTTCAAGTGTGGGCTTTCAAAGCCAATCTCCAAACCCTTCCTGCTCACTGTGCTTTGGTTTGGAAAGTCACAGTTTCAGAGCAACATATCAAATCTTTTGAAAGGCGCTAAACCAGATAAAATGCCCCAGGAAAGTACCTAATTCACCACAGCTGCAAACAGGTGTTCAAACCTTAGGGCCAGGCTACAGCCAGTTTAGAGTAAACCTTCCCTGAGCTGTGAACCTTTCTTGGCCCACAGAGTTTGCAATCAGACTCAGCATCACTCCCGGGATGCTGCAGACAGCAGAAGTTGGAGGTACGGAGGTGACAATGTGCGCGGGCCAGGTACAAAGCTGCGTTTTGTAGGTCTCCAGTCATTTCTTATTGCAATTTTGACAGGCTTAAGTACCTTTTCTGTGGTAGGACTGAGCAAATTTTTCAGGACATAGCTCATTTTCCCCTAAACATTGTTTGGAATAATGTCAACCTCTTTATGAACCTGTGCTGAGTTTGGTGATTATGCGCAAATGATTATAAAAAGTAATCTATACTGCAGTACCTCGGAACCAATAAATATTAACACTGTATCATGGTAATCACTGCAGAAATAAAAAATTCTGCCTCCTGCAATTAAGATGTACAAGGCACTGGAAGAATGCAGGGTGAATTGAATCATACCTAATGAGGAAAGTGGGACAGTACTTGCAATCATAGATGATCAAACACTGTGGAATTCTCTGAGAAATGAGGGAATCTCAGTGGTTAGAGGACGTGTGTAAATCCCTCATTTCTGTTCTGTTTATTCCCTTATCTTTCTTGTCCAAGTAATTTTGGTAAGCAAATAAGGGCTTATCCTATTATTTTCCGAGCTGTGAGGTCATGAGGCAGTTTCAGATTTGAAGGCACATAGCCATTTCTGTCTGCAAAATATTACATAGATAAATCCTGTCCCATCTTTGGCAAATCAGATAACCCACGTGTCCTTCAGTTTCCCATCTAATAATATTTCCTTTCTAATGTTTTTTATGTGTCATCTTTCTTTAGACTAAATATTCCTCAGGAAGACGACTACTTCACATTATCTTCCTTTTTTCCCTCTGCTTAATGCAATGGGCTTGTTATTGGTGGGAATTTCTAGGTGCTATCAGGCTATCTCTGATATGAGAGTCAAATTATCCTGTATTTCATAGGAAATATTAGTATGTAAATATTCTGTAGATCATTTAGGAATCTATTTATACAGGACTCAGGTGAGTCTTTTCAATACTGTTAAATGCATTAAATATCAGCTTAGGAATTTGGCGCCACTGGAGAAGGTGGTTAATATCCATGCTTTTTCCTGCTTAAATATATATTCTGTATGTCTGGATATATATGTGTGTTCCCAGCTTTATTATAGGACTGTGACTATATCAAAGGCAAAGAACAGCCTGAGAATGGTGCAAACTCAGAGCGTTGTAACCCGCACCTTTTCTGTCCCCACTGCCGGGACAGACACGGTTTGGGACACTCTGGCGGTATCACAACAGAGGATAAATGTGGGCTATGCAGGGGGATCATGCACAGTGCTACTCAGCAACACCTCATGAATTTGCTAGTTTTTCCGAGGCTTGGGGCCATGCGAAGGCAAGCTCAACTATGTGCACACCACAGCTGTGGAGTCTGACCTGAGGCAGCCTGTGAGCACGAACCCGGGAGTTTCTTTGGGGAGGGATGGCTCTGAAAGCAGCCGTGGACCTGGGATTAACCACGCAGAGACTGCCCAGCACTAAACTCATCCAAATTTGTTCTTTTCTGTTGTCACTTCTCCAAAACAGAAATATGTAGATGATGGAAAAGAAACATGTTTTTTCACCAAGAAGGTGATTCCAACTGGCAACAGTTCATTTCTTGGATCTATTTAAAAA